ACACGCCGGCCTATCTCGGCAATTACCAAGGCCGTCTCTGACGAGGTGGCGGCTCCTGTAGTCATGGCCTCTGTGATGTCAAAGCGATACAGTTGGATCCTGTTATCCCGAGCGACTCACGCTGATTATCTGGTGAAGCGCAGAGCCTGCAGGAGGGAAACCAGAGGCCCTGGAGCTCAAGGCCACAAAACTCCAACCAGAGATTACTCACGTATTGATGTCACTCAGATCCCCCCCCCTCCTCCACCGCCTATTGAATTGATTCAGAAGGTTGCTTACAGTAAACTGTTTCAATGCATGGTTCAATACCTTAACTTGCAGCCTTGGCACTGAAAACCGCTAAACGCTAAGCTGCGGCGGACATGTTTTAACAGCAATGAGTGACATATTCCTGTAGCAACATCACAGGAAGCCATCTGACAGGAAGTCTGTCGGGTTAGGGTCAGCTGTGATGTTTGAGCTGCACGTTGGGTGGAAAACACGGTGGTCTTTTTCTGACAATACCGCCATCCTTCAGTCTCCTCATCGCTTCCTTTGTTTCGTTTCTGTTAGCTGGACAACAAAATATATGTAAATGGAGAATGGCTCCAGCAAAGAAAGAATGGGGCTGAAACAGTAAGTTTAGTTAGCAGACTGCTGCCCCCCCCCTCCCACCGCTGCCCTCTCATCTAGAATGCATGTTCTTTACTAAAAATAAAGAGGGGCTGCGGAGGGAGCGGGACTCCAAACCGCATCTGTCCTTTTATGTCGGAGAAACATCAAAAGTTGTTGCTCTTCCTCTCATCCCTGCGTCCTCCCCCACTTCCGCTCCATCTATGTGTACTTGATTGGACATCCTCTTCTTGTAAAGAGGAGCAGTTCTCAGCTCGGCCTCATGTCAAATGTTTTATTTTGTAAATGTGAGCTAAATGGGTCCATTTTTCTACAGAGAACTATGCAAACAAACAGCTATTTTTTATCTTTCACCCAGGAGACCGCTGATCGCTCCCCGTGTGAAACGAGTCAATGCTGATTCATTTGTCACGTAACTTACGTAATGTAGTTACGGCACGGATTTATTTTAATCCAAACGATGATGATATTTCCTAAACCTAACTGAGCAGTTTTGTTGCCTAAACCTAACTAAGTAGTGTTAGTTTCCTGTGAAGACGGAACTTTATTTTGAAAAGACCGTAAGCATGTAACGTGCGGAAATTGACACGTGTTGCTAAAATGTTACGTTTGTCGTTAGATGGCGACATCTAGTGGCCTCAGTAATTGTGACGGGAGCAAAGGAGGAAGTCAGCTGATGTAGTGTGAAGAGCGAAAAAGTCCGCGTGGGGAGAAGGTTGGGTCAAACAAACAGAGGACATCAAACAAACAGGACTTTCACCCAGGACACCGCTGTTCATGTCCCACGTAAAACCAGAAGTCAACATGTTGAGTCATTTAAAGTTCCGTACCGAACTAAACAAACCACAATCTTTTCGTAAACCTTAGTTTTGTGGCCTAAACCTAGCCTAACATTAACCACGTGCTTAAAACTGTGACCGTTTCACAAACGTTAAAAACAACGGTCATACATGTCATTTTGGGAATCATCTGCAAACAACTTGTTCTGTCATTTAGGTATCGTGTTGGTGAGTTTTTGATCTCATAAAGAAACTCAAAGTGGTCACACGCGGTCTGCTTAGGCATAACAGTCAGACGATCGCCAAATACTTTGAGTGAGTCCATGTCAATTTCTAGTCTACTCGTGAGCCAGCCAATAATAGTCCTTGGTTTTCAGCTATGCAGTCATTCAGTGAACCATTTCTCCTGGGTCTCTCTGTCTTTTTCCCCCTGACCAGCGGAAATGCCTCTTCTTGCCTAATTAGGCCGGCATGCCAGTCAACTCGTCACGGGCTGCATTTCACTAATTCTAATCCTTCTTCCTCCCACTGTTACACCTCCCCCCCTCCCCATGTCTTTCCCCAACCTTCAAGTCCCTGCGGACTAGATTTTCCACTTGGGATCAAAGATAAGGAGGAACGGTTATCTGAGAGAAGAACATGCTGGGGTAAAGCGGTTGATGACCTTTTGTACTAGAGTCTGTGTGCGTGTTTTTAATAGAACAGAGATGAGTCAGCTGGAGGCTGTTGTGGCCAAAGATCAGGGAACACAGTGACAGAAGAGAAGAAGAAAACAGACTTCACATCATTACCAATCGTTCTCTCTCTAGGAGGGGAGTTTCACAATTAAGTGAAGGGTTTTTCCAGAGAACTGGAGCAGACGCACTAATGGTGTACCGGACGGTGTGGTAAAATTATTTGTCACCAAAGTTACGGCAACCCCATGCTGGGCGGAAATGTAAATAGAAGCCTGGGGAGCGCGGGATGGTTTACAGATGACAGATCTCCACGGTGAATACGCTCGTGGAGGAGGGTGCAGGGGGAAAGATTCGTACACAAGGTTATTGGTAATAACTGCCAAATGTGAATGAGGTGCAAAGCGAGGGGAACACCTTGAACTAATAAGGGCTTGTAAGAAAACCGCTCTCTGGAGAAGGAGGTCTAAAGCTAATCAGCTTGGCAGGCAGACCGCTGGGATCTGCTATTCACATATATGAATGTCTCCATCGTTGCAAAATAATCCAGATTTTTAGAACCCAACAGATTGATGGCGTCCCAGCTCCGTCCTGCCTCAGATCTCCCCCCTACATGCCATGTTAGATAACAGCTGAGATGGACACAGCAGCCGGCCTTATCAGACCTCTCCCTTCCTGGGCAGCAGCGATGGAAATCACTGTCTAACAACCAGTCAACAACCAGACGTCAGGTGGTCACAGTAAACAACAACCCGCTCCTTTCTGTACAGAGATACCTGTCTTTGCTTAATTTGCTGTTTCAGCTTTTCTTTCCAAAAGAGAATAACACTACGACTAATGAGATGCTTCAAAGGCAACAAAATACACCTCAAGCACCTTTTAAGTTTACTAAGTTGTATCTTTAAAGCTATAACAACCTAAGGAAGCTGCTTTCCACTGCTGGGTTTGTGCTCTGCCAAGTAGCACAAAGGCTGTAGTTTCATTTTAGTGTACAAATACAAACACGCAGGGGGCATGAATAAAAGACACGCAAATTTGAAATACTAGCCTGCGAATATTTTGCATCAAAACTATTATCGACATTTTTTCAATAAATGTTGTAAAGTCTAAGCAACTGTGAGCTATTTTATTGAGTTTCCTTTGAGCAAAATGCTATGAGTGAATTTGAGTTCTCTCTGGTAAACAGTTACGCAGTATATATGTCTAGGGCTTTTTTGTGAAAAGGTAAGAACGGAAGGAGTGGATCTAGTATTTGTGTAGTGTGCGCTTTGGATACGTCTTTTCCGCCAAACGTGGATGGTTGACGCCTTTATTTGAGGAGCCAAAAGCTCAGAAAAATCAACCTTGCTACAAAAACATGTTTTCTGTCACTTTTCTGCCTCTGATATTCATGTTCTGTGTGGAGTACTTATGACAGAAATAATAGTTGGAAAAAAATATATTAATCTACAAATTAATGGCGAAATAATTAACATTTCCGGTGTGTTAAGACCGTAACTCTGCAAGTAAGTAAATGGGCACATTTCCCATAATGCCACTCAAAAACAAAAGAAAAACTTGCCCAGAAGCAAACCAACTTGGAAACCCTTGTCAAGGACAAAAGCATACATCACAAGTTGTTGTGAAATGCGTGATTTCAAAGCTTTCGTTTCTGAAATCATCCTCAGGGCTCGGCTCTCCTCAGATAAAAGACGAGAGGACGGAGTGATGCTCGAGGAATGAGGACCGTCTTTGCCACATGCCTTCGCCCCTAGCCGTTTCTCCTTCGCCCGCTGGCTCGCTGCCTCAGCCTCTATACCCCCTCTTCATCACTTTGGCCCCGGCTGACATTCTCCCCCTCTGCATCCCTCTGTCTATTCATGGCGCCGTCCCCTCCGTCAATGATCCTTTCACAGGGGCAGCAGCGTGGGGTCGGAGCGCGGCTCGCAGCTCTTTCTGAGGAATGCGACCGAGCGACCTTCATATGAGCAGAGATGTCCAGACTCCTGCCCCTCGTACTACCACTGTTGTGTGTCATTTTTCACACCTCACTGGCATGACAATCAACTAAACAGCTAAGATATGCATTCACATGTTATTCCTTGACAAGGGTGGCTATCTCCCAGAGGGCCTGTCCCAGTAAGATTAGTGGATCAGCATCTGGCCTTAACCTTGAATTAGTGGGGTCTAGTGGGGTCATTCAACCTGCTACAGAGAAGGTTGTGTAAAAAACTGAGGACTTCAAATAGTTTATCATATTACAGTGATCAATACTGATTGATTTACTTAATATTGATTTCATGGAATTATATCTAATTTATAAGATTTACCGGAATTATTACCGGAAATGTGTTACCAATGCTTATTTATATGACCTATATTTAGGTACGTAATCCTTTTATGGCTTACAAGTAGCGTTGCCTTTCACATTTATGTTCTATTTTTCTTTATCCGTTCATTACTTGAGTGTTTTGACCTTGTTTCATGTGACATCTCTCAGGTCACTACTTGAATCCATTTCATTTGGCGGAGCTTGACAGTCGTCATTTTTCCGTCTTTACAGTTTACAGAAAAAAAGGCAAAAGCAAATACAAATGAATGTCTCCTTTTTGTCAATTTTGTCAATTTTTTCACCACAGCTAAGCATAAAAATTTGCAATATTTCAGCGTTTTTCTCTCTAACTTTGCGTTGTTTCCGCTTCGTTTTTTTTATGCGCATATCGAAAAACAAATAAATGAAAATGGAAAATGATAGTGGATGAAAACGGACGTGGTAATAACCAACTGCTCAGTGGAGAATAAATGTACAAATTTGGGCTAGTAAAACAATAATGATATCCTCTGTCCCGGCCGATTACAGCACATTCAATACTGTCCATGAGTGTATCACAACTGATGATACACTGATTATTCTGAGGCTGTGCTGTGAAAGCGTGCGTGTGAGGTGGATCCTTACCTTGGCCTCACACTTCCTGTGGGTGGCTGTCTTGCATACTAAGAGGAGTGAGAGTAGAGAAGGAGGGAGGGGGAAAAAAGAAAGACGACAAAATGAGTATATAGTATGAGTTTAGTCTACATATGAAGTAATGAGGTCAACCTGCTTTGTATTTGTCACAAACAACTACAATCTTTGTTTAGTTGCATGACAAATTCTACAGCGAGACCCAAGTAAAGATCTTGACATCATCCTGCTGTATTACCACACAATACATAATCTCTGCATGCTGAACAGAAACACACGCCGAGATTATGACACGTGTCAAAACACCAGTTCCTTTTTTTGAATGTGCTCTTACAATATAGACCTAATATATAACAGTCCTACTTTGCGCCGACTCGTGATGAAACTCTAGAAACCAGGCGGAAACCTCAGATTCTGAAAAGTGAAGTCATCGTGGATGTGCCTTCAACCTGCATTCTTTCTAATGGCCATCAGGGGGCGACTCCTCTGGTTACAAAAAGAAAATCTGATTTTATAAAAGACTGAGAAAATGACTCTACTTTTCACTTCATTTACTACCTCAGCAAACATTGTGAACATGAGTTTATGTTCAAGTCTTCTTCAATACAGCATGATGTTAATTTAGTAAATTATGGTCCATTTAAAGTAAAATTGACCGAATTTAGTTGTTTCATTCGCTCACCAGATTTGGCATCCGTACTCGTATTTTGTCCGAATGTCAAAGTCCAGTATGATCGACAGGATGCAACGTGACACAGCTGGTGTGTGCGCTGCCCTTCATTCATTCATACGTGACACATCCTACATCCTGCAGCCTGCCATGATGACGCTTAGCATGTTTCCTCTTGGTGCTTCAGACTCACTTGGTCCTGAGTGACCCAACTGCTCTACCACCAACAACTACGCAATGCTCGCAACATTTACCTCTGCAGAAGGAGCCGACGTTGTCGACGTTCTGGCGGCACACGCTGCACTGCCGTTTCTTCTTGAAGGTCTTTTCCTTGAAGACATGGGGCTCTCCCTTCCCCCCCTACACACACACACACACACACACACACACACACACACACACACACACACAAGGGAAAACGAAATTCAGGCTCAGTTAGAAACCCGATACAGCACAGAACCAGACGTGGCAACGCAGTCTGTTAGAGCTGCCTACTCTCGGAAACAAATGCAAGAATCCTTGTTTGACCTTCATCCAAGAGTTTAACCCTCTATCCTCCTCCATCGGACAGGATGAAACCAAGAAAGAAATTCAACATCCCCAACTTTTTTCATAAAGAGGAAGAAAGCAAAGTAATGGTGTGTAAGTTAGCGGACTGTAATAATGACAGGAGCTCAGGACTGTCAGCTTTAACCTGTGTGTAAGACAGACTTGGGTGCATGGTATGTATGTGCATAATATGACTACATGCATTCTCTACTCCCTTTGCTTCTTCAACTCCTGTGGTGGTTGTGTAACTGTCTTCCAGTAATAATTCTTGTGGTTCCCGCCCATACCACACTATAATCCTTAGAGTGTGTGTGTGTGTGTGTGTGTGTAGGTTTGGGAAAGAGAAAAAAGGAGGAAATGTGTTGGTCTAATTCTTCATCGTAATTCTTTCTCATGTCCATATTTGTCACAATGTGTGTGTGTATACCTCAGTCTGTGTGTGTTTAAGTGTTTGTACGTCTGTCTTTGTGAGGACCATTTTGAATGTAGACGTTTTGGGTTCAGACTTTGTTTTAAGGTTTGGGGTTGGAATTAGGTTAAGGTTAGTGGTGATGGTTAAGGTTAGGATAAGGGGCTTGAGAAAGCAGTATTTCAATGAGGGTCCTCACAAAGATAGAAATAAAGGGACGTGTGTGTTTGTGGTATTCCCGCCCAGTGCCTCTTTGTTACCCAACATGGGATTGCGTCTACAGATGACTGGGCCCGACGTGACTCTGTGGGGCCTTTGAACATGAGAACTCTAACAACCCAGGGCTAAGTACGGGGATTGCTTAGTATGTTTTCTTGCATGGCTGAATGATGGCAGGAGAAAAGTAAGTGTGGGGGGTGGGCCTGTGAACTAACAGTGTGTGCAATGTAATGCTGAGGGGAAGCATGCATATTCTGGAAACTGGCAGGAATCCAGTCAAAGGGGTAGGACTTGTGGCAGAAAGTGTTTTATCCGTTCACTCCTCAGAGCAAATGAGAGTTGTTGCGACACCAATACTGGTAGGGTAAAGGCCTTCGATACAACCTAAAAAGCTGGACCAGATATCAGCGAGTACGTGAGTGCATGCACTGATTGAATATCACGTCATGTCATATCATTTATCAGCTCATTTATGCTACACAGGAACAAAAACACACGTCACTGGCTATCCAATCCGTACACCGTGCCAGATCCGGACTGCACAAGTGCAAACTGATGATGATAATGCACTGTGAACAACACATCTGCGTTGAAATACGTTAACGGAGGATGCATTGACTTACATTATGATGCATTCAAGCTCTTTTCAGGAAAAATGGGTACTGGGCAAAGGTCAATTATGACGCTATGATGATGTGTTCGAATGTAATCTTGTATCATTGTCTGTAGCTTTGGATAATTAACCTGATACACATAAAGCTTTTTTGTTTTGTTTCCTGTGTGCGTGCTATTCCTCCTTGGTAACAAAGAAAGGGTGCTGTTTACACACTCCTTTTCCATTATCCTGGCGCTCTTGGCTCTGTTCTAGGGGCTGGACAATGTTTGGACAGCTGCCTGCCTGGCATCACCCTCTGCCCGCCGTGTGAAGCGGCAGCTGGCCCCGCTGCAGTACAAGTGTACTACAGCCGCAGCACGGATGGTGGAAGTGGAACTGAGTGGGCGGCTCAGGGGCTGGTGGTGGGCTGTTATGTAACATGGTGTGGTCATGGGGATTGGGATTTTAAAACTGTGTCGTCATTACTTTGTGGAAAATCGCACATTTCTTATGGTTTCATTTATCTCCATTGGACTCAGCATGACTTTGCCTATTCACTTTTCTAGCAGCAACAAATCAAAATCCACACAGACTTCATGAAAGTTCTCGTCTCATCTCGATCCTGTTTTGATGAATCCTTGATTTATCTCTCCTTCCTTACTCCAAGTTCACCCTTTCCCGAACCCTAAACATGACAAATGCTATCTCTGCCTGGACTTTTATGCCTGCTGCTGACCACACGTGTTGGATATAAACTTTGACCCATTGTCAAAAAACACCAAAATTATTCTTGTCTTTTTGTAGATTTAATCTTTAGCATGCCGTCCTTCTATTCCGTGAACGTGTGCAATAATCTTGTGAAGTGTGTGTGTGTGGATATAGGCATGCATGAGTCTATAGACTGTGAGTTTAAAAAAGCAACCAGTTACTGTCAGTTAAACCACAGCGGTGATGTGGGCTGAGAGATAAACACATAGATGAGAGGTTGGCAGCATTCTTCCTGTTACAGACACAATCAAGACCACTATATAGTGCAACCACAGGCACTCATGGTCAGACAGTGATACACCACTACGCTACGGGATGCTGTATAAAGTCTGGTGTGGATAAGCTGCCATAATCTGGTTCATGCCATGAACTGGATTTTGAGTATAAAGGCATGACGTGCTGAAAGAAACAATTATCTTCCAAATCTTACAGTTGGGAGAGCTGCTTTTCTGTGTCAATTGCAACGTGATACGTTAGCCAACTTTTTTCCAAAAAGGCTGCAGGTTTGAACTCCGCAACTAATATTCAGAGAAAGTAGTTGTTTGCTGCTGTATTAATGCTCAGAATTTTGAATTTAGCAACTTTAACATTAACATTTTATGTTAAGAAAGAACAAACAAATGCCCAACAGAAATATTTCCAAATGCATCATCACCTCAAAATAAGGAAAGCAAACTTGGTTAACTACCAAATTTCTCAAAACAACTCTTCACAACTCGGGAGTCCAGCCAGAGGAAACCTTATGTGGGAGGTTTACAACTTCAACAGAGGAAGCAGAAAACAGCTGGAGTGTAGAGTGTATAAGTACTTCAAAAAAGCAACCTGTGATGCTGAGCCCGGTCCCCAGGATAGTAATTACCGTGACCACTGTAATGGATAAAAAACATCTTCCCCCGGTAGAAACATGTGTTATTTGTCACGGAGTGGGTTAATAAAGACACCGGGTTAGATCATTTCTGCTGCCGGAGAGAAAAGAGCTGAACAACAGAATGAAACGTTCAAAACAAGAGCACAATTATCATCTACTTAGCAGGAAATGAACATGTAAATCCGTTCACTCGTGCTGTAGATGCACGCAGGTGAACCAGACCGGGACCATCTGCCTTCACAGACAATAACATCAGCACATGTGACCATCTGAACAACCAGCTGGGAAACTGCCCACATCTCCACAGAAGTGACTCGAGTTGTAAACAGCCACATGAGACCACAGGAAGAAAAACTCACGTGCAGACGTGTATCCCTCCAAGACAGTCTGGTGGAAACAGACAGCCTTCCCCTTTCCTCTTTTCTGTCCCCCCCCCCTTGAGCCAGGACAGACCCCCCCCCCCCCTACCCACAAAAAGGTCCTTTTTCTAATATTTTTAGCTTTTTTGGCAAAAAAAAAAAAAAAAAGGAACCAGAGGTTTACTGGAGTCAAAGAAACGCTTTCTAACCAGAGACCCCCTCCCCTTTCCTCGCTGAGCGTCTGCCACCCGTCACAGAACAGTAGCTGGATTGAACGAGGGAGGGGTCGGACGCTCATACAACAGACGCACACACACGGGCAGCCATGTATGCGTATGAATGTAAAAAACAAGACACACAGAAGCTAATTGTGCGCGCACGCAAACATGCACATCCCTGGAAACTCTCTCGCTCCTTTTCTCTCGAAAAATAGTCTTGATATTTACACAATGATGGGCATTGTGTGGGACTGGTACATTACTGACTACCGGCCTGTGACCTCAGCTTCAGCTGCAGATGGTCAGTGAGGTCACGCATTGAAGGAAGCCTTGATGGGAAAGTCTTCCTACTGATTTTGTCATTAGAAGAACTCTGTGAATGTACCGTTTGTCTTCAGATCACTTTTGTCAGTAGCTTTGCTCAAAACAGAGGTCTGATCATTTGATCACACTGCCCTGTTTTCTATGTGAGACACTTGAATTTGAACGTCTCTGATAACCACCAGGTCAAAACTGCATGAAAACTTTCCCATCATCATTTCATCACTGGCTTCGCCCAGTCACTGACAACTGCAACTAACAATAGTTTTCTGTAATAAATAAAGATGCTGATTAACTTCTGGATTAAAAGAGCACTCCTCTGATTTAACTTTACTCACGTTGTCGGATGTACGATGGATAGTTAAAAAAAAGATTTTTTTATTTGAGATAATGGGCAAAACCCAGAATGTTTTGTGCATATAAACGTCGTCAATGGCTCAAGTGACATCATGGAAGTATATTTATCAGACTTTGTGCCGCTCCCTCTGCAGCCACAAAAGGCTTTATACAAACTATTTGTTATGCAGTAGTGCTCTGCAACACCTGGAGTTTAATCCAAATGCAGAAAGTCCTGGAAAAACTGACATCATAATATCTTCCATTTTAAGTAACATGTTGAAATTGCTTGTTTAGTCGGACTCTAGATTGTGTATTCAAGTGGCAAAGCTAAATTCTTTGGCAGATCTTCAAGAAATGTGTTCTATTAGCTGGGTGACGTAGGGATGACAGCGGCAACATGCTAGCACTAGTCAGTGACAAAAGCTCTCTGGGTTTCTTTCTATTTTCACTGTACTGGACTGTTTACTCTCCTCCCTGGTTTTTGTTCTCAGGACATCATTTCATTCAACATAGAGTCAATGGAGGGTAAAATGTTCTCCCCTCCTCACTGATAGTTATCACGCTTGTTAGCTCTGTTGCTAACAAGTATCAACCTCCAGATCTGAAAAGTGAATCCAATGCAGAAGTGACCACAACCTGCATTCTCTCTATTGACCATCAGGGGCGACTCCTCTGGTTGTATAGAAGTCTATGAGAAAATGACTCTACTTCTCTC